CAAATGTTGAAAGTGCATTGTAAATCTTTTTATGCTTCATGATAACTAGCAGCGCTGGGGAGCGCTTTTTTCCCAAATTAAAAAGAATAGAATACGAATGAAGAAGTACAACGCTTCAAGAATGATTGACCAGTATGTCGCTAATGTTCTTAGAATGTGACATGCTCAAAGACATAGAACAACTGATTCAAAACTTTTCAATAAACATAGAATTTAAGTACTAACCAATGAATGCTAAAGGAGTTACTGTTCCGAATTATATTACAATTATCTATTCATTTATTGTGATTGTGAAGAAACAAAAATGTTTTAACAAAATAGTCCTTTGTCAAAGCCGTAGGGGCCCCGTTATCCTTATGTGTTCAGAGACGGTCCTGACTGATCTAGATCTAACTTTGCTAATCGTACTTCCTGTTTCTGCTTTTTTCTAGATTTTCTAATATATTTGAGGAATCTCAGGGGATTCTCATGAACTCAATGAATTCGATACTTGTCTCAAAAATAATGCGGAAATTCAAAATCGAGTTGTAATTTCATACTTGTTCTGTCCAAATTTTTATATTCAGTGTTTTTTCGATATCTAAATCCTGGAAGAATCAGAGAAAAGTATGTACAGATTTCGCTAGACTTGATCCATTTCATCAATTCATGAGCCAGTAAACTGCATTCAGTGTTCTTGTATGTCGATTGAAACTTTTCGTTGATATTTTTTTTGTATCAAGAACTGATAGCTTGAACCTTCAAAGAGAAGTTTACATGCAGGGGTGCTTCTGTGAAGCATTGTATCAAAATATAGTTTAGGAAACATTTGTGATACCCCTGCTTTCATTTCATCTCTTCTCTAATTTGATGACCTTAATCTGATTTTGTTACTTTAGAACTAGGGATTCTATTGGAAAAGTCGTCAAAATTTGATTCACCAATGCGATAATTTAATACTACAATTCTGTTTTTTTATTTGCTTCTCATGGTAATTTATTACGCGATCGATTCCCAACAAACGGTTTTCACACACATTAATTTGTCATTTTTTGACAGTGTAACATAGCAAATGACTCCTGCGAAGAGAAGAGATGAGGACCATACATAGGCACGCAACAATTCCTATCAATCAGAACTCTCTTCTCTGTTCTCGTCTCTCGTAAGAGATCGGCAAAAAGCCAAGTCTTCTATCGGATCACGACGATGTTACAACAAAGACATAATAGTATAATGAACATCGGATCGGAAGGCTTAATTGGCACCATACACTTGGTCCGGCGATGCGAACAGAACGTCATCCGACCGATCCAGCAGCAACGGACATACAGACAGACAGACATACGGACGGACAGACTATATACACACACCGTCCAAGTGGTCGGCACTTTTGAACCATGCAAGTCATCACCGTTCGGCCACCGTTGCTTTTACTACCTATGCGACGAGGAGCAGCATCAAACATCATGCTGATTAATTTGAACAGATTTTGCTGTGCTCATCGTTAACAACCGTTTCGAACGAACCCTTAACAAATGATTAAAAAAGGAGAGTGTAACGGCGCAATCCTCATGGGTATCTATGAATGTACGATAAAGAATTAATGTGTTAATCGATGCCGTAGTTGTCACATAACAGTTCCAAATATATGGGATTAGAAGTTAATGGTTTTCGGAGATTTTTATTTATTTATGCCATGCCTTATTCATTCGTTCTGAATTTCAAGATCTTAAATTAGCAGGAAGTATTCCGTTTGGTTATTGTGGACCATTTGTGCCACAAAAAATGTATTTCAGGACCTTTATCTTTTTACGCATTACGTTGTGTTAGAAGCTTCAGTTATTAGCAGAACATGAAACCAAAAGCTTCATTATTTTATATTAGTTTCAACTCGATAACTTTAGTTATTCATAGGAAAACAGTGTTGACAAAGTGACCTTTTTGTTTCTTAATATGAGGCAACCTTCCACTATTTACTGGTAAATCTTTTTATGATTGTGTACACTTTCATGGTGTAATATGTCTATTTTACCTATTAAAGCAGATGTCAGCAAAGCTTTTTCCTATCCTCGGAAAGTTGAAATTCAACAAAACCTCTTGTCAACAAAATGAAACTATAGAAAATAATATTAATTTTAACGTAGGTTTCTCACAAAATTTATATTAAAAATCCTATTACTCTATCAAAAGATTGAAAGGGAGTAATCCACCCGAAAAGGTAAATTAAAACAAACGGCCTACAGCTCGATGATTACAAATGTAGCTCGCCCTCGCAACTGTTCGATCAGATAAATTGATTATAAATTGTATTTCAGTATTACACACTATAGATCCCCCTATATCATTAGTAACAGATAAATAGATTAGTTTATGATTAAATTAAACTGTAGCTGTTCTCCTACACAGTTGATCACGCCAAAGCGGCTTAAGTCTACTTAATCTTATTTGATTTGATCTGCAATTCAGTAAATTGTGACAGATTTTGCACAATATATCTTGAGTTCTTATAATCTACGCATTTAAAATACCAGCTTGATGTATGTTAACAGGAAAGGCAACTGATTTTTTTCATAAAGGCAATCCTTGAAGGTATTTCTTATGTAAGGGTAGTTTTTTTACGTTTTGTATCTAAGTTATTAGTTCTTTTTTATGTAATGTACAAAATATTCTGGGATCACACTGTATCAAAACATGCCTAAAGAGAACGTTTTGTCCTGAAAAGAAAAAGATAGAAGCGTTTGAAGTGAGAGAAGATGGAAGGATTTTGGATAGAAACAGTTATAAATGAGATAGTATTCCAAAAAGTAGGAAAACAGAAGGCGCTATAAAAGTCGATAGGAAAGTAGGACACCTTCTAAAACATGAAGAACTAGTTTGAGACATATAAGGGGCAGAAGGAGAAGCAGGGAGTGACACAGGAAAAACTTCTAGTTTACTAGAAATTCAGTTATTTACTTAGGATAGGCAAGAGTGAAAATGTGTCCAGCAGTTTTTGGAGTGATGTTTTTTTGATGACGTACCTCCACTCTTTCCTATCGTAAGCTAATCTTTGTATTTCCCTAAACCTAGAATATCCTACATCGCTAACAATTTGACTTTTGTCCTTATTATTTCCTGTATGTCTCTAACTAGCCCTTGAAGTCTGGGATGGTGTCCGACCAACCTATCTCTCCTATTTGTTATCGATTCCTATAGGGTCCTCTGTTCTCCTACTCTTTCGAATTAATACCTTCCCATTTCTATCCTCTATCTCCAGTATGTTCATCTGCCTGTAACACGACATTTCAAACCATTCTAACATTTCAACTCCGCTGCACTCACCGTCCGAGTTTCGCACTCGCACGGAGTTTTCAAATTAACCGTTCGCGAGAATTAAAAATGAATTATTTATGTTAAAGGTGACTTGATCCTCCGCTATTCCTTGTTTCATATCTCTACTGTTTCTCCCCGGGACTTTCTCTGTCTCGTATTTGTGGTTAAGTACCTTAAGCATACGATCTCTAACCTTTTGACCCGCATATCATAAGATTTTCGGCTGTATCTCATTTATAGTTGGCTCTTATTATTATCTAACTCTATGTCTTTTATTGCTAAAGTCAAACTATTTACTCATTAAGGGATATTCTAGTTTCATCTTCACACTGTCTTCTATTCCTAATAACACATCCTACTTTTAAAATACAAAACAAATTGCGACTATTCATTTAGACCAAACCTCGTATTGTCGTAATGTATCTTTGAATTGTTGGTTGGTTCTGGTGATGCTTAATAAATTTTCGGAGGTTATTTACGTTACTGTCAATGGATAATTCAATGAAATTTGCCATTCAGCTCCCCTATTTAGGCTATGATTATCGGGCTTGTATAAAGACCCTTTGATAATTTATTCGCTGCCATAAAGGCACCCCAGCTCTAACTAGGGTTAAAATTGTGGCGGTCGAAGTCAAATAGTTAGCGACTGCATCATTATCTTCTATCTCGTCGAATCCTTCCTTCTACTTGCTTGCTGCCTCTTCCACTGTAATCATTCGCCGCCGCGAAATGTCTCGCATTACGTCGTTTTGTCATCTGCATTTGACCGATGATGAAACATCATCGTACCATCGGTAATTATTTTATGTAGTTATACTGAGGGTAACGTTAAATTGGATCTAATTTTAAACTCAGTTAGTAAAAAACGTTAACGCGATAAAGGCAAGAAACGTTTGATGAAATTGTTTTTCTTGATGCCAAATTAGTTTATTCTTTAAAGATTTATTTTTATAAGAGATTAAAAACTAGTAACTCCAAATTTATTGTATACTCTCCTTTCAAATTTTTGTCGTAACATTTTTTTATATTAGTAATGAGTTCGAAGGATATGTAGGTACTACTTCAAAATTGTCAGTTAATAGTACCTTTTTTTGTTTATATTATATAAGAAAATTTTTTAGGTTGATAGAAAATTATTAAAATTCATGATCGGTGTTTGTTTTGTGTAGGTACCTACATAATATAAGAAAACTAGGCTTTACGTGTTAAAGATCATAGACGACCATATAAAACTAATTTTTATATCCCTCGGGAACAGTATTGTTTTTCTGGATAAAAAGTACCCTATATCCTTTTCTGTACTCTTGGTAATGTGTGTAGAAAATTTCATAATGATCTAATGAGTGGTTAAAGCGTGAAAACGTAACAAACAAACTCATATTCACATGTATAATATTAGGATTGTTAGGAGTTAGGATTGTTATTTACGATATTGCTTTTATACTTACCGTTTTGACGTCAATTACAAATTTTTGGGATTTCTTGCCCTTTGCCTTCGTTACATTCTACAGAATGAAACGCATCTACATGAAAATCAAAAATTTATATATTTTTCACAAAAGCTCGATTAATTTACAAATTGGTACAATTTACAATAGTACAGAGTTTTGGCTAGCTGAGAAACATGAATTGTAAAAGCGAAACTGCTGCGAGCGACATTTTTATAATCGGATAAACTTTAAAATATAT